TACAAATATCTGTAAGCTTCTTACTTGGCAAATGTCCAAAATATTTCGTTACAAGCTCATCCATTTTTGGAAAGTAACTTAATTCTCGCCCTATGTCCAGGCGAAGTGAATAGTAGGTGTTGGTAAATCTCTCCCAAAAGCTCATGCGTTCGGCTAGTGGCAGGGAGCCCATTGGTACGTATGACCAAGGTGTAATTAAGCCGAACATTTGGCTCATGAAGTTCTGTTGGGCATATGTTGCAGTGCTCACCACAGGCACTTTGTAGATATGGGCCAAAGCAAGAAAGGCTTCTTGATAGAATTGTTCCACTAGCAGCAAATCATACACATCTTCCGTTTGTTTGGCATTAATAATTGCCTGTACTTTTGGTAGTTTAAGCGCATGGTCCGTGGTGGCCTCGCCCAAAATTTCAACCAATTTTTGAAACAGGGCCACATCGTTTTTCATTTCATAGAGAGAAGCTGAACCGAGGTGTTCCTTAACTGTAACGGTAGTGTACAAATATGTTAAAATTCGTTAATGTGTAATTGAGTAGGTATGTGTAATTTGACACTCACCCTTCGTGTAAAAACTGTACTCCGGCTCAATGAGTATCTCAGTGTAGTTGCTGCCTAGTTTGAGTGACTCAAATGTGTGCGCTGTAATCATGGTGACCTACAGTTGGTTAACAAAATAAGCTGTTCAATAGCGTAATGTAAATTTTGAGCGTAACTATTTTCTTACCTGATGACCATGCTTCACCAACTCACTAATCAAGACCCGATGCATCATAAAGTGACTTTTGGCTGGGAAGGCGTAGACTGCAAGTATTCTGGCGCCATCCGAGTTTGGTGCTTGAGCGACTAGTACGGCGAGTGCCAACAGGCTGCCGAATATTGCCGAACGCTGTACAAAATCAATTGATGAATTAGTATTTAAATAACAGAAGTAATTAATTAGTGTATAATAAAATATGTAGTGCATATTTTAAATTTCACATAAGAAATTGCACAGTAGTCAGTGTTGACAGTTTGGGTATGTCTCACTAGCTTTTGGGGTTATTCTGGGCTATTAGGGAGAAAATTAGGTATAAAATCAGGCCGTGAGAGCTGAAGTGGCCCAACTTGGGTTGCCAACATTTTCTTGGAAATTGATAGTACTTTTCTAAAAATATCTGAAAAAAATATAGTACACTTCAAATATACATATATAGTGAGATAGTCGCTTTATTTCCCTCAGCTCACCATTTCACAATCATAATAAAAAAAAAACTTTTACTGTGAATGCTGAAGTTGCAGGAATAGAGAGCATAAGCGAAATAATGTTAAGTAAATTTGGTTAATCTTTCCAAGTATTTTTAAAAATGTTGCCATTTTACCCAACAAATAGTAAATACTATATATTATAGTACGGTTGGCAACCCTATGCCTAACCCACATGTTTTTGTTTTGTACTTTATTGCATAAAATAATTTCAAATATGGTAAATTTTATAGTAAAATTCGTTGATTTATCAATTTTAAAGTACGTAGCGTTACAAAGATTATTTTTGCATTTATTTTAATTTCTCCACCATAAACACAAAAGTGGCCTAAGCGGGTTAGGAAAATAAAGCTCGATAAAAGTTGAGATCTGGCTAAGTTCAATTAAGGCACGGCTAAGAGGTGCATTACTGGCATAGTTAGTTCTATCCTTATTGCCATACAACGGATAGTAACTACGTACGGAACATTAAAAATTATTTTCTCTAAAGGGCCGGACAGTCAAGGACACCCTGGATAATGCTAAGAACAAAAGTTAAAGAGAGGACAGAGCTCCTGCTTTCAAGAGATTTCAAATTTAAAAGAATCCTGCTTAATTTTTTACTCCAAATCTCTGAAGACGATCAATCGATTCGTTAATTCATATACCCACTTCCATTTATACCAGGTTCATCCAAAATTAGATAATTAGCGCACTAAGGTTCAATCGGTTTTTTTGGTTTTTTTAATTCGTTGACAACTGATTCGCTTATCGGACCCGAGAAAGGCTCAAATTGAATGCACAAAAGCGTGATTTGTTTCAAATGAATAAACATAAATAATAAATAAATATGAAATTTGATCTTGATTAATACATTTTCAAAAACTTTACAACACAAAAACAAAAACAAATTGTTTTAATAGTTTTCAAAATAACTCGAGACCGGGCCGAGGAAAAAATTTGGAAAAAATCACACATACACACATTCTCTATGAAAGAAATATTTTCTTTCTTGAAAAATTTCTCACAAACAAATTTTTTGATAAAAAAAAAAAATTATAAAAGATGACAATGGTAGCTCTGAGTATTGCACAATATTTACTTAGAATTTTTTTTTGAGTATGCAGTTTTGTAGCCATTAAATCTAGAAAAATAAAGTACAAGTTTAGAACGATTGCACAACGCAAGTTATTTTTTTTTTACTTTTCTTTGCGCATTTGCTTCCGCAAGAAAAGAGTGCAAAAAGCTGTCAGCATAAAAATTATTAAAAATCAACGGCGTACTCAAATGAAAAATCGAAAAAATTTAATAAATTTGTAAATTTGTAATGTTGAGCTTCTGCGTAAAAAAATTCATACCTCAAACTAAGGTAGAGTATACCCCATAATACTATAGTTAAATATTGCACAATACTCAGAGCTACCATTGTGATTTTTTTCAATTTCTTTGAGATGGCATATTTTCCAAAACTATTTTTTTTAATCAAAAAATTTGTATGTGAAAAATTTTCAAGAACAAAAGTTTTACAAAATATTTATTTTCATATGTTTGTGTTCTCAAGAAAACTATTAAATCGATTTGTTTTTGTTTTTGTGCTGTAAAGTTTTAAAAAATGTATTAATTAAGCTCAAATTTCACATAAAAAAAATATATATAAAAAAAATTTAAACAAATCAAATACATGAAGTGTGAACCCCGTCCGTTTTGGTATGGAACGCCCCATATATACAAATGTAGCAAATTCCACCTCAGTTTGAAACTTATATTTACATATATAATATGTATAAACTACCGTAAAAAAGTTACCAAATTCATTTTTTTTTTCTTTAGCACTGAAGGACACCCACAAGCAGACAAGTTGATAATATAACTGTATTATCAATTATATGTAATGAGGTACGCAGATAAGAGAATAATTTATCGAAACACTTTATAGTTTTAGGCTTCTCATTCCAATAGAAGGGCCTATATTATTTTTATATTTTTACGGCGCAATTGGAACTGTCTCATCTTTGCTGTTCTTTTTCTATCCCAGAGAAAATAATTAAAAATTTTCTTAGAATAATTCTAATAAAGAAGTATAAAAAACAAATGCTACCAGCCAAATTATTTTAGTAAATTTATAAAAAAACATGCGTTGCTAACCATTTTCACGCATTTTTTTATAAAATTTTTTTTTAATTTTTTACAAATTTCCTGTTTTT